AAGAAATGGAAAGAAAAATGTACTAAAATAAAATAAAATGGCACAACTTAATGAGTGAAGAGAGATAACTTAGGAAAACGTTGCCTCGCATGCAGTAGTGAGTATATAGGAGAAACTGGACGGCCTCTGCGCGTACGGGTTAAAGAACACATGGATGGTCTTCGAAAATCGCAAATCCAAACTCCGCTGGGTGCCCATCGTGTTCATTCTCATGATGGTGTGGGATTCCAGGTGACTGTGTCCATCCTGGCGCAGGAGCCGGAGATCGCAGCGCGAAAAACATTGGAGGCATGTGGATTTCGGCTAAAGACCCCAAAATGAATAGGAAAGAGGAGTGTGTGGTCATAACCCGTGAACTCGCGCCCTTCTCCGACCTTTGTGGGTTTTGATCTACATGAGGTCGAGGTTTGAGGTCGAGGGATAGAGGGGGATTCTCACTCATCGCATTACTGCAAGCCGGGTGGTCGATCTCGCGTCTCCGCGGCGGAGATCAAAGGTAAGCCGAGTCATCTTAACCGATCGATACCGTTAGGTTGTTTACCAGTTTCTCAAAAGGGTCTTCAGTTTTTGTTAAGGCGTTTGGGAGAGCAAATCACAACTGTTTCGGACTCTTTCAGGCTCTGACGAAGGCGAGGAAGCCGAAACGTTGGCCTAATAAACGTTAACAATCTTGGTCGGCTTAAATACAACAATAATTTGATCACCTTCTCAGCCCCCTTTTCCTCGGGAAACCCCCAAACGTGATGGCATTCAATCCTCAGTCTCGTCTTGATCACAGTGGTCCAGCTCAACCTCCAGAACCATGAATCCTCTGTTCGCATGCTCATCCAACCAGCTGCCATCCGTGTCTCTCCGAGGGATAGCAATGGCACCGATGCACCTAGTTCCATGGCCCCTCAGACCTTGGGCGACATTCCTTGGCCCGAAACCTGAGGTAGTCGATTCGAATGTTTCTTTCAGTCTAAAAATAGTGGCTTAGCGCTTCAGAAACCTTCTTATGTTATCTAGAAGAAACGAAAAATCAAAAGGTCAATGAATTACTAATGAACGCGCCGATACGGCCTTCTATATGTTTCGGTGCTCATGGCCGTTGCCAGTGTTGCCAGGGCACAGCATTCGATGGGGATTTTGGTCGAGTCTGTACGACCCCCCTTTTTGGGGGGTTGGTACGACCCCACCCCCCCCCCCAAAAAAAAAAGGGCCAGCATTTCGTCGAAGGCGAGAAACGTCGCGGTTTGGCGAAACGCCCGTCGATTCGCATCAAAATCCTTTCGCCCAACCGCCAGACTCTAGGTCCAATTGCCAGTCGATCATCAAAAATCAATCAAAAAATCAAATCAAATCAATCAATCAAATCAAATCAAAAATCAAAAACTTTCGCCGAACCGCTGCGTTCCAGAGAAACGCTGGGCCGCTGACTGTGAACAAGTGCCTGATACGAACGATAGGCCAATTGACCGAGGATTGGGGAACATCACAATTATGAAAATCACAACATAGGAAGCGTAAGCAATGAGAGGGGAGACGAAAACAATTCAATAACTAGAAATAGTAGTGGTGATATACGAAAATTATTAAAAACACATCCTAAAGCTACAAAAATAGAAATTTATGATGTTAAGATGAGAAAAAAAACTGGAAGACACGCCACGCTGCGTGACAAGCAAACCAGCCGAAATCAGCTGGTTGTCGAGTATCGATTAGCGTATCGGGGGAAGGGATTCTGGGCAGGACCAGCCATGTGGAACGCGAGTTTTCAGCAAAGTGGGGTGTCTTTGAAGGACCATAACTTCCTCAAAAGCGGACCTGTGGGGAAGAGGAGACCGTATTCGTGTAGAGGAAGGTTTGCACTTCCTAAAAGTACTGAAACGTTTATGAAGGTCGCAAAAATCACAGAGAAATCTGCCATGGGGATTCGTTGGGGAGTGATTTCAACTGAACAGGTTTGAATCAATATATTTTTTTTGTAACTCAACATTTCACAAATCTGAGAACGGTTTCGAGTGTTTGAAGATTTTCTCTTTCTAAAAACCTCTTGAACTGTTTCTGAAGTTCTCGGGATTCATGAGATCTCGCGATGGGGATTTCTTGGGGAACACTCCCAGCTGCGCGAAAAACCCGTTTCCTGTGTACCGTTTCAAGTGAGCGTGTTCGAATAACCAGGAACGCATGAAAAACGTATCCTGTGGTGGAGCAGGAGCAGAATATGGTTCGTTTAGCGCCGATCACGCTGACTTTGGATGCGCCGCGCACTGAGGTCCGCGCAGAGGTGATGGGATGGTGCAACTTGTGCGTAATGTCTGTCCACGCGAGCAAATGTGTCTATAGGATTCAGGGAGGTCCATGGCGAACCTGTGCACTTGTTTACAGTGTTTTCCCTTGCGGATGATGGAGCGTGTCCCTGTCGACGCCGCCAGATTCGTGCTCCGCCAATTGCTGATTCCGATAAAGGAGACCAACTGCTGGAAAACGTCTGATACGAACGATATGGTAGTCCTGTCGTTTGTCGAAAAAAAGGTTGGCTCAGCGCCAAGCGCGATCGCGGACACGCCCCATCATCCGCAGCGAACCAGAGTATGAGTTGTACTGTTTAGTCATCACTTACGAGATGATGTCGACTTATTAATATTTCCAGTTATTTCGGATTAGTTTGATGGATGAAAGTTTTGTACTAATTTTTTTTAGACATATCCGAGTTCTCTACAAAGCAAGTTCCGCTGTACAGGACTCAGCACACTGACACCTTTGCGCTGCTCGTTACTGGCTACCGCACTCATTACGACCCCCCTCTCCTGGCGGCCAAATACGACCCCCCTGTTGGGGATTCCCCAACCAACGATGTGCCCTGTGCGCAACGGATGCCTACGCCAAAAATGACCTGTAACGTCGGTGCCTGTGCAGCACACGTTCTTGCTCTGAGGAAAGGCCGGTGAACTCCCATGACCCCTTATGTGGCGCTAAGGGCACCTTGGCCACTTGGTGTAGGCGGTTTACCAACCAGACCTTTTCTTAACCGATTGTCTCTACACTGTTACTTTACTCAACCGATACACATTACCACAAAATTACAAACTACAAAATTACAAAAATTACAAAAAACTACAAAATGGTTACTATTTGTTACAGGAAGCACGACAACGGCAAGACCAGTGTCGAGTATGTGGAGATATGCCACGTGGTTACAATTTCAATGTTATCACGTGTAAGCCATGCAGTCATTTTTTCCGTCGTTACGCGCTCCGTCCAGAGGTAGGTTTGTGATCGGATCGATCCACGATGAGAATGGCAAACCAGTTGCGTTTCTTCAGAAGTTCAAATGTCCAAATAATGGACAGTGCGTAATAAACGTCGCCACCAGAAACTCGTGCCGCAAATGTCGATTGCAAAAATGTTTTTTAGTAAGTTTTTGGGCTCTTGAGCTCTCCGCCACGAATCCTCTTGGATAAAGGTGAAGAAAATTATTTGCAGGTTGGTATGACTCCTGACGGCGGCATCAGTCCGAACAGGGACCGGGTGAGAAAGCCCATTTCATCTTCGGTTTCTTTTGTTACAGCTGAAATATGTAAATAGGAACAGAGAATTTTCAACCTT